AGCCAATTCAAAATAATACAAAATGAGATTACCATATATAAAAATTATTTTTCTGGTTTACTGATTTTACTAACAGAGAGAACAAGCCATTCTTCAAAATGCCTTAAGCCAATTCTAAACATCAAGAACAAAGTAAAATAATAGTAAGAATTATTTTAAAAGTCCCTAAATAGCAACTCAAATAAAACAAAGTTCATCTCATTCAGTAATACTGAGAAGTTCAGAACTATGCCACTACAATACTGACTTAGCTTGCAAACAAAGTAACACCCACTATATCACCTGGTCAGGTCAGCAACACGTGATATACTGTAAATGAATATCGAATTTGGCAGGACTAAGCACTTAGTATTCATAGGATCTTATTAATAGTAGCGATCTAATGTCAAGGCTTAAAATCTATTACAATAGATTGTAACAGATTGCAGCTCTGAAAAAACTTATTTGTGTAACCCTACTTCTTCTAAATAGTGCAAGTATTATAAGAACAATAAGTCATAAGGGAATAGTGAAAGGCTCTTATAATTGCAAAGTTATCCTAAAACCTTGCTGTTTGCCTCTTAGTATTATGAAAATACAAACATGCTCATAGTAAAAAAAAAAATCAACCTACCAGAAAAAGTATACAGAAAAAACGTGAGATGTGAGTCTCTTCTTCCTACTCTAGGTCCCTAGTCTCATTCCCCAGGGGTATCTGTCAATAATTCCTTACACTGGTTTGAAATTTTGTATGTATGTATATAAATGTATGCTTTATATAAGCACAAATGAAAACATACTATATGTATAGCTCTTTTGTTTCCTCAGTTCACAATGTATATTAGAGATTTTTCCGTATCTGCATCTCTGCACTTACTTTGTCCTAAGAGCTGCTAAGTATTCCTTTGTGTAAAGGCAGTCATTTAACTAGACCTCAGCTGAAACACAGTTAGGCTATTTCTAGCAGGTTCTAGTTAGGCTATTGTTTTTTCTTTAATTTCAAACAATATGGTGACAAGAATCTTTGAATACAAATTTCTGTGTATAAGGCCAAATAGATCTGAAAGATGAATTCCTAGAAGTACTGCCTGCTATAGAATTAAACCAATTCTAAACAAGAAGCCAGTGTATCTACAAAGGAAACCAGCAAAAAACTACAAGTTTAGTGTTTAGTGATTAAAAGGTGCCAAATAGTATCATAAAGTTAGAAGTTAATGTTCTGAAAATGAACAAACTGATCAATTAAAAAAGGTAAAATGGGGCTGGGTGCAGTGGCTCACGCCTGTAATCCCAGCACTTTGGGAAGCTGAGGCTGGCAGATCATGAGGTCAGGAGATCAAGACCATCCTGGCCAATATGGTGAAACCCCGTCTCTACTTAAAATACAAAAAAAATTAGCTGGGCATGATGGTGCATGCCTGTAGTCCCAGCTACCCAGGAGGCTGAGGCAGGAGAGCTGCTTGAACCCAGGAGGTGGTGACTGCAGTAAGCCGAGATTGCGCCACTGCACTACAGCCTGGGCACAGTGCAAAAAAAAAAAAAAAAAAAAAAAGGTAAAATGGGAAAAAAGAAACTTTACCCCCTTGAGACAGAAAGATAAAGGGCCTGGAGAATCAACTACCTAATAAATTTTTTAAAAGAAGAAAGAAAAAATGAAATAGCATAAATAAGGCAGGATAAAGGAAAAAAAACCTTTTTAAGCCTTTTTTCTTGCTTAAACTTGAGGCACAAGATAAAATTGACCAGTAGATTTGGTACATATACTATTACATAGCCAAACTTAAATGCAAGAGGATTTAAATGACTATTTGAGGCCTCATTTCTACCGGGTATCCACAGATTTTCTACCATAATGTAAAGTGTTGAAAGGAGGTTCCCTGCCAAAAAAGAAAGCAGAGCAGTAACCTTCCAGGAACAATGTAATTATAGCTTACCAATCTTAAATTTCTGATCAACTTTACAGGAAAATAAGAACAATTGCTTTACATATACAAAACAAACCTCTCTTTGGACGTCTTGATTAAAACATAAAGAGATTAAGAACTGTACTTTTCAATTACAATCCTATAGTTTCCTAGGCAAATTTAAGATTGTTCTACCATCTCACCAAACATAAAACAGCGAACTACTTACCTCTCCCAAAGTGCTAGGATTTGAATGCCACAATACATATTGACTCATGTTTTTGTCCATTAATGGTCCTTGGTTTCTTTAAATGAAGTCCATTTTAGAGTCCATAGATATCAGTGTTCTGCAAAACTGAAAACCTCAAGAATGTCAATGTACAGACCTAAGTTACCATTTAGATAGCAACTCATTATGAATAAAAGTTATACTACACAGATTTAGATGTGCAAAATTTAGTGGACATCACAACAGCAGATTGACATCACACTGAACAGGAGACTGAGGTAGCAAAATTATACTGGATTTTTTTTTTTTTTTTTGAGACAGTCTCGCACTGTCGCCCTGGCTGGAGTGCAGCGGTGATTTGGGCTCACTGCGGTCTCCGCCTCCCAGGTTCAAGTGATTCTCCTGTGTCAGCCTCCCAGGTAGCTAGGGTTTGGGCTCACTGCGATCTCTGCCTCCCAGGTTCAAGTGATTCTCCTGTGTCAGCCTCCCAAGTAGCTAAGGTTATAGGTACATGCCACCATGCCCGGCTAATTTTGTATTTTTAGTAGACAGGGTTTCACTGTGGTGGCCAGGCTGGTCTTGAACTCCTGACCTCGTGATCTGCCTGCCTCTGCCACCCAAAGTGCTGAGATTACAGGCTTGCACCACCATGCCCAGTGACTTAATTTTTAAGTAAGACAATAATATTAACATAAATCTAGAAGACCTGAAAACATTACTTCGTACCTTATTTTTACGTATATTCTAAAGTTGGCACCGTAGTAAGAATATACACAAATGGGCATGATTCTGGGCACTTTCCAAATATTGGGAAAACAAGGTTTAAGGGCAGGTAAACTTAAAATTTAAATAGTGCAATAATATATTTACATGTCAACTTTTTGGAGTTTTCAACCTATTTCAAGAACATCTTAGATTTTAAATCTAAAAAACGCCTACTAGCGTCATCTTTGTAAAACACACACACACATACACACACACACACACACACACACACACACACCCCAGTATGGCATAAATTCAGGGTTTCCTACCCCACTATACCTAATCTAATGGTAAGATTCTGAAACCTCTCCAGAGCTGTTATCTCATTATCTATCCCATACACATTTTCACCTCACTAGTGATTCATGCCAAGATTTCATTACACAGCCTGAGGACAGTCTCATCTGCACTTTTTTTCCATTTGACAACCAAAACCAATCTGGTCACAGTAGTTGTTTTTTAGGTACCTGCCTAGTTTTTATCACATTTTAAAAATGAATTTTTATTTTTTAAATTTTATTTATTTATTTATACTTCTTGAAACAATCTCACTCTTTCGCTCAGACTGGAGTGCAGTGGCGCAATCTCTGCTTTTGCAACCTCCACCTTCCGGGTTCAAGCAATTCTCGTGTCTCAGCTTCCCGAGTATTTGGGATTACAGGCTCGTGCCCCGCCCAGCTAATTTCTTCCATATTTTTAGCAGAGATGGGGTTTCACCATGTTGGCCAGGCTGGTTTCTAACTCCTGACCTCAAGTGATCTGCCCGCCTTGGCCTCCCAAAGTGCTAGGATTATAGGCGTGAGCCACTGTGCCCAGCCCCACTATTTATCACATTTAAGATACCTAAACAAGTACTTCCAACAAAAGAAACAGCTTAATCTTCTTTTGGGGACCCTCTATTAATACAGCTGTTTGGAAGGAGTTAACTTTATTTATAAACACCAGGTGTAATCTCTGACTGGATGTTTATAAATTACCATTTTCATTTTTATAATAAAAAATATAAGGTATATTCTCAATTATAACTATTGTGAGTTATAATTCTCACATCTCAAATGTTAAGTAGTACATTTACTTATAAGATAATGAAGAAAACATCAAGAAAAAGGAAAGTAAGTTTACTTTGCTGAAAGCACTGAGAACAGTCAGTGCTACAACAGCAGCTTATTTACAACGGTCCAACTCCTCCCTGGTATCATTGCCCTAGAAGTTCTTCCCAGAAAAGTAAAGGAACCTGAAAGAAGCCAAAGCAAATGACTCATCTTCTCCACTCGGAGAAGAATATTAAGACACATTTCTAAATTTCAATAACCATAAAAAACAAAACTAACAAAACCCAACAACGTCCTGGGTATCTCCTGCACCAGCATCCTCATAAACCACTGGTTAGTAAACTAAACTGGAGTCATTTCTACATTCAGAGGTTAATATACTGAAATTTGGGAGAGTATCTTCCGGGGAGCCAGAATCAGGTTGGTTCATTCATTCATTCATTCATTCATTCGACAGCATCTAAAGAATGCCTACTTGTGGCAAGGCACTGTGCTATGAGTTAACAGACAAAAAGTCGAGGTCCCTGTCCCCTATTAGCAGAACAGGTCGGGGTAGGTGAACCCTAGGTCAACTCATCTCAGTGTCCCAGGCTCCGTCTCTCCAACATAAGCGCCAATGATCGGAAACCCATGATCCCCAGCCATGTCTGATTCCTAGAAGACTCAACCTTGTCTGTATTTCCTCGACGACCTCGGGCCCCCAAGACCAAGTTCCCAAGAGTTCCCCATATCCTCAGCCCCTCAAGCAGTCTCATGCCAAGGAGCCTTTTCTCCAGCCACCACCTAATGCTAATGTTGTCCATTACCTAACCTCTGTCCACCCGAACTTAGGGCCCCGAGCGACCTAGGCCATCAACCCCAGCTTCCACCCCCGCCACCGTTCAGATCCGGCCGGCAGGTTTACCTGTCGGGGATCGGAGGCTCCCAGCTGACCCAAGACGCTCCGCCCCGCCCGTGGCGTCACCCTCCACAACCAGGTACCGCCTCCATTGCGTAACTTCCTGTGCGCTACTTCCGGTCGGAATCCCACCTGCCCCGCAGTCCCGGGGAGCGCCAGACTCAGCTAGTGACGTAACTTCCGACCTGTTCTGTGCGGTCTCCTGTCATCCTGACGCGCTCCGGATTTTGCTTGTCGGGTTTTATTCCGCCGGTTTGCCTCTCCGCCTGTGTATCTAGCCTGAAACAGTGCATATTATCTCTTTGCAAACATCTTTAGCCTTCTCTTCGGCAGCCACTTCCCTCTGCTTCTTCTGTAGCTTGGACTCATCACTGTTCAAATTGGTCTGGCCTCTTGGAGAAATCACGACTGTTACTGTGATTTTTCTTATTTATCTACCTAGGGAAGTGCTAGGACTGCAGGCTGTAAGGTTGCGTTGTCTGGTTTCAAATGCTGCCTCTCACTTCTAACAGTGTTACCTGGGCATGTTACTTCACCTCTCTCTCTGTTTTTATTTAATCCCGTTTTCTGAGAATCTCTGTGCCCACTTCGAGTGTGAAACATAATACTAGTACATAGAAAATAGGATAATTGTGTGTATTACTTGAGATAATACATGGAAAGCACTGGCACATTGAAAGCATTCAATTAGTGTTAACCATTACTTTTTACACTATTATGCACTCTTACTACCTGTTGGAACATACCTGTGCTTAAGGACGACTGGAACCAGATTTCCTGCCATCCCTCATACCCCCCCCCCCCCCACTTTTGTCTTTAAATTTTTACAGATACACAGTTTTTAATTAAGTAATTAGTTGATGATGCCTGTAATCTTCGTTGGAACTGTGAGCCCCTCCACACAAAGTTGGAAATAGAAACTAACTTCAACCCTACTGGAAATCACCTGCTTAGTGCTGCGAGGTAATGGGGGAAAGTTGAATAAAACCCAGGCCTTACCCTCAAGAACATGGAGATATTCAATAAATATTTATGGAATGAAGGAAGTCAACCTAGGAAAAAGTGGAAGGGACCAGCTGGGCTGAAGATTTATCCTTAGCACAAAAAAATGCACAGAATGACATAACTGAAAGGAACGTTAGAAGCAATCACTTAGTCAATCTCTTGCTGTTACAGGTAAGGAACATTGGATCCAAAGGAGTGGCTATTAAATGAATTTCAATACTAGCACCAGAAGAAGAGTCTCAAAATGCTCACCACTTCTTCACATTCCCAGAATCTGCCTCAAAATGTGAATAAGGTAAGGGTAGATTCACTTTTATATCTTCCTCTCACAAGTGAAAAGGATTAGGAAAATCCCAGTCCTGGAAAGACAAGGGCAGTGTAACCTACATGCCGCATATTTGTGATGATCATCTGAATGTTGGTGTGGCTATTGCTGGATTCATTTGAAACACAATATTCCCATTCCCCCGGCAAACTTCTTGTATTTACCCAGAAATGAAGAGTCACGTATAGCTCCTAGGAGCTCTACCTTCAATTTTAACTGGCTGGACAGGAATAAGTAACAGATCCAAGAAACTTCAAATGGTAACATAGACTCTGTAAATGCACTGTCAATGTTGTGGCATAGCTGCATTTAGTTTTCTCTAATTGGAAGCAATTTCTCCTAATAATTATTCAACCTTTGTTTAGGAATAGACAGAGCTAGCATAGGCATTATTAGTAGTAGTATTGAAATGTTGATAATGAGACCTTTTAATGGACAATAATTCAATGTTAATATTACCTCATAGGCCCGTCTTTTTCCCTCATTCAACCAATGGCACTTTGTCTCCTTTGGCACTAATATAGTATAACCTAATACAAATAAATACAAAACAGGATGATTCTTTAATCAAATTTAAAATCATGTGAATTACATTTTGACGTTTCAATCACAATTTACACAGGTATTTTGTTTGTTTGTTTTTGTTCTTGTTTTTGTTTTTTTAGACAGAGTTTTGCTCTTGTCACCCAGGCTGGAGTGCAATGGCATGATCTTGACTCACTGCAACCTCTGCCTCCCGGGTTCAAGTGATTCTCCTGCCTCAGCCTCCCGAAGTAGCTGGGACTACAGGTGCCCACTACCATGCCCAACTCATTTTTCTTTTGCATTTTTAGTTGAGGTAGGGTTTCACCCTGTTGGCCAGGCTGATCTTGAACTCCTGACCTCAAGTGATCCACTTGCCTTGGCCTCCCAAAGTGCTGGAATTACAAGCATGAGCTACTACGCCTGGCCTACACAGATCTTAAAGTCAGCTTGTTTGCTTCTATGCCCAGCTTTGCTATTAACGACCTTAAATCACTTTACCTCTCTGGCCTTAATTTCCTATTTGTTCCATAGAACAAACTTTGTATTCTAGTAGAAAACATGCACATTACTTACCACTGTGACCACTAGATGTCAGGTGTTAAGGGACTCTTCCTTTCTTCCTTTCTGGCTAAACAAAAACATCATTGTCCAGTACCACCTGTCTGAACAACTGCCTATACTGATGATGATTGAGTGTCCCAAGACTTTGAGAGAGGATAGGTCAGAAATGTTTGTTGAATGAATGAAAGGATTCCAGTATTTGTTCTGGGCCTTGTGTCCCATACTACTGTCCACCTGCCTCTTCTCCTATTAAAAAACTTCCTCTTTTTAAAGCTATGGTGGTGGGAAGAGGAAGAAAAGATGAGACAATATAAAAAGGAGTTGGATTGGGAGGAGAATGGAGAAAAAGGCATTGTATTGCATCTCAAGGCAAACATTGGTGCACTATGGTATTTTTAAATGGAATAATATGTCTAGGACTTACTTTAAAATAATACATGAGGGTATCAGATGATAAATATTTGCCATATATTGATATTGTTGTTTCATTATATTCTTCTCTCTTTGTGCATGCTGGAAATTTTCCATAATACAAAGTCAAAACTAAGATAACATGAGTGCCTTTCTCTTCCTCTAGACAAGACTGAATTCAAACTAGCCTACTGAACCTGAGGATGCTTTTGCCTGATATTACAGAAACCTTGTCACAGACTGGGTATTCCAGAAGTAGACAGTCATGTGGAGATGAGAAAAAAGATTTCTATTAGGAATGGAGTGGAAGCAGGATTGTTCAGAGGAAGAAGTTGAACTGCTATTCAGGTTCAGCAAATCCTCAGCTATCCTGGGAGGGAACTCTAGAGTAAGTATTGCCCATCAAGAGTATCATTGTCAGGCAACAATGGCCAGCCTCTTATACTAGATGCAGTCTGCCCTAGGAAAGGTGTGATCTCAAGCAAGGTGGCCTTCTGCAGCTGAAGCAGACCCTGATTAAAATAGCCGAGGGCTGTCTGCTAACCCCATTTCCTATAGCCGGGCAGCAAGTGCTTCCTTGAAAGGGAATCTGGGTAGCATGTCTTTGCATCTTCCACAAAATGCAACATAAATTGGCTTAAACAATAAGGGAATATCTTGACTTCTGTAACTGGAGTATTATGACAGACATCAGGGTTGGTTGCCTCAGCAACTCAATGATATAATCCAGGACCCATATTTATTTCTGTCTTTGCTCTGCCTTCAGCAGCATTTGCTTCCACTTACAGCCAGCTTTCCTTGAGATGGCAAAATCACTGTAGCAGTTTGTGTTGATAGCTACACTCTGTACACTCCCTGAGGGGATGGACACACATTTAGTACAGACATACCTCATTTTATTGTGCACCACTTTGTTGTGCTTCTCAGATATTGCATTCTTAACAAATTGAAGCAACCTTGTGTAGGGCAAGTCTGTTGGTGCCATTTTTCTAACGGCATATCTCTGTGAAGTTTTGATAATTCTTGCAGTATTTCAAACTTTTCATTATTATTATGTCTGTTATAGTGATCTGTGATCACTGATCTTTAGTGTTACTGTTGTTATTGTTTTCGGGCACCATCAACCATGCCCATTAAGGCAGCAAATTTAATTGATAAATATTGTGTGTGTGTTGTTTAATCAACAGGCCTTTTTCCCCTCTCTGTCCCTCTCCTTGGGACTCCCTATTCTGAGACAAAACATATTGAAATTAGGCCACTTAACAATCCCACAATGGCCTCTTAAGTGTTGAAGTGAAGAGTCACACGTCTCTCACTTTAAGCCAAAAGCTAGAAATGGTAAAACTTAGTGAGGAAGACATATTGGTAGCCAAGATGGGCCAAAAGTTAGACTTCTTGTTCCATATAGTTAGTCAGGTTGTGCTTATGTTGTTGAAAAGGGACATTTCTTGTATGATTTTCAGATCTGAAGCTGATAGAGATGACATATGTAATGAAAAACTACCTGCAAACCTAAAGTGATAAGCCAAGTTCACTGAAAAGCTGAGAGGCTGAAACATGAGAAATAGCAGTGAATGCATTCTCAGATCAATTTTTGGCTGCGCTCAGCTCAGATTTGGTTGCAGCATATGGATGTGAACTTTAAGTATGCTCAATAATACATCATTGATCTCTGACTTATTTCACCTGATGAAGATAACACGCTATTGAGTTATTTTTCCCACAATTGGGTTTTCTTTAGGAATCCTGATGGCTTCTATTAAACATTAATGTAATGAATATATGTATATCTCCAAGGCTTAACACTTGACACTAGAACAAGCTACCTGAAATTATATAAATCATCATTACTGATATTCTTGGTGTCAACCTAAGAAATCAGCAGAGAGACTCTCTAAAAATACTGAGTTTAATTGGGAATAAGCAGAAGAATTGCAGTGCAGAATACTTGTGCCATAGTAAACACTGGAGGTTGAGGCAAGGGGTAACTTTTAAAGGCAAAAGAAGTACACATAATTTGTTTTGAAACAAAGAGAACATTGGCTACAGTGGCTTATTACAGAAAATGATGTCAGTTCATTAGTGTAGATGGTGCGCCAGGCAAGCATTCTTGCGTAATTTGGCTAGCTGTCCTTGTGATTCACCAAGCAAGACGCAGGTTAGAAAGTCCTTGGCAGAAGTTCTTGTTACAGGCATATGTGCATAAGAGACCTTCAAAGAGTCTGTTATAGTTCTTACCATAAGCATGTGTGCAGGGGGGCTTTCCCTTTCTAACCTGACTTTTCTGTTTGGGTTTGACAGGAGAGACTCCATCTTGAGACTGACAACTTTCACATTGGTATTGTGAAGAAGTTATTCTTTTCCTATCTCTCATTTCAAACATTTATATGAGTAGCTTTTTTCCTTGAATGTCAGCCGACTTCACTCTGGAAGAGTGTACCCAATGCCCATTTAGGGCAGGGTAAAATTTGTTAACAAACAGACTCAAATTTATTTCTTGCTACCTTAACAGTCCTTAATCACCCAGGCTGGAAAGCATTAATTTGTTGTTCCAGAACAACCTGATTGGTTTACCAGAGAAGTCAGTTTTGATGGCTTCATGTCACTATTGAATGAAATTTCACATGCAACACCCTGGGTTCCAGGGCCAATAATTGATCACCATTGCAGGGAAAGCTGGGTTTAGATAGCCGTTTCTGTTCTTACTGTGACAATAGATTTACATGTTCTAGCAGGCAAAAGCTCAGCACTTGCACTGAAATTCAGCTCACCATTTGCCTTTTGGGTATTATGCTAAGTTACAGCATTTCTGTGCTTCTGTCTTTGTTTTAAGCTTTAATGAACTGCTTCTGATGAACTGATCTGCTTTTGTGAATTAGGGATATAATGCAACATAATGACAACAATGAAGCCCAACCAATGCATTTGACAAGCAGAAGCACTAACATGAAAATAGTGTGGGAGTGCATTAGCCCAGAGGACCAGTATCCTCTTAAGTAGCAATTATCGAGACAAATTAAATGAGAAGATAATTTAAGAACATATCAATTCATAACAATGATAAGGAGACTGCCAAGTGGTTCAGCAGTCTATAAGCAGTAGCATGGTAGCACCTGCTCAATTGGTTTGTCACACTTCCATAGACTCAGCAAGTAAGAAGCCCAAATGGATTTAGACAGTTTTGTATTCACAGCAAAAGACAGTCAGTTAGCTACCAGTATCCCTAGTCTCACAGCATGACACCAAATAGAGGAACTAGATGACAGATATCAGGAATGGTGAGTTGCTCTGTTGAGGAGCAGGGCAGGATCAGCATTGCACAGCCCTATTACTGTGCCCCTCAGTTTTGTCCACTAGGTGTCTTTCTTGCCTCATCCTAGTCCCTGCCCTGTTAAGAACCAGCCCTAAACTGCTGCCAAGCATTTTTCTAGATCTTCACAGAAGCTTGCAGCCAAACCCTTAGGTGGGGGCAC